CCGTGTGACTTCTTCTTCTTCCCAAAGATGAAAATTCAGCTAAAGGTAAGGAGATTTGAGACGATAGAAGAGATTCAGGCAGAATCGCAGATGGTGCTTGACAGGCTGACAAAGAAAGATTTCCAGGGATGCTTCCAGGCTTGGCAGCGGCGCTGGGATCGTTGTGTTCACTCCCAGGGGAACTACTTCGAGGGTGGTGGATGAATTTAATACCTGAGATAAGTGTACGGGTTTTTATACGCGCAGTCTAGAAACTTTCCGATCGCACCTCGTATCACTACAAGGATTTCAATTCCTGCTACAAGATCGCAGTAATTTCTTTTACGGACCATGACAAAGATAAAACTTGCATTACAGGGGACATTTTACATTTCTACAGTAGGATATAAAGGAGTCTGGCATTTAACTACACATGCTCCATGGTATGAACGTGGCAAGCATTTAAGACATGCACCAGAGGGTCTTACCTGTGTCTGCGAAAGGCAGATGCACTCTGGGATGCAATTGACCACCAGGATGCTGTGGATGACACGCAGAGTAAACATCAGTGCAAAAAGCAGTAGCAGTAGACACTGCAACTGCATGGTTTCACCCCCAGCATCTGCAACAAGATTATCTCTTTTCACTCACTGTTTTACATTACTGTCACGTGTGAGAAAACTTAAGTTGTCGCTTAGATCCAGTGTCGACGTAACACACTTTAAACTTATATTTAAAAGAAATCCAACTTATATCTCTAAACTGCTACCGCATAACGCTGATGAATCTTCCTGTCTCCTTTCAAAGTCTCTCAATAAAAATCCTAAAATATATTAAAACATAAAACGATCTCATTCTTCAAATCCTTACCCTTTCACTATCGTCACATCTCATTTGATACTATAAAACATATGCGCTTCATTTAATACAGTTAAATATTTTATAAATTAATCCACCATGACCAGACTTTCAGCGCGCAACTTCTACCGTAGCCAAGGATAGAATACTGACACTCTTATTGATGATATTTGAATAAAACTGCAGATGTCGAAAAGCACAAATGACGAAATTCACCTGTAATCATCATTTTATCCCATCA